CAGGGGTAGCAGTGGGGTGGTGGGGCGGTGGGGCTGGGGTGGTGGAGGGGCGGCAGCAGTGGGGGGCAAAAGGAGGGTAATTTGGACATTTTGATGATGTATTCAACCCTCACTAAAAATGAGGAAAAGTCAAAGTAGGAAGCTTATTCCCGGACGGAGGGAGTACGTTAATGAATACGAATATATCCATATTCGGTTCGGTTACTAAATGAATATATTCAGAAAGATGGGTTAAAATAGTCAATATTAAAAAATAAATCGGCTATTCACTAATTACTTAGAAATCAAATGTATGTTTATATTTTAATCTTCAATATGTAAATTATGAGTTTATCATTTTTCTCCTCAATAAAACTATATCCATAAAAAGAGTTTATGAAAAAAATTAGTTTTAATATAATTCAAATCTTTTATGAAATAAATTGAATGTTTATAAGATTTTTAAATAATCAAATATTTTTATATGAGCTGAATACATTTAAATGAATCAAATTTTTTAAACCAAATATCATAAACGAATCGAATACGAATCTCTTGAAATACAGATGATACTCTCATCAATATTTAATTCGATTCGATTCGTTTACAACCCTAAGCTGAACCTGGTTGTATATATTTAAAAAAAACACTGAATTGATACAAAATATAAATTAAATGATATCTCTCCGTAGTGTGTTCTATAACTAGTTTCTTATTTTCTTATTTGAATTGTCTCACGAATTTCTTTCACTTGGGGTCCTAATCATTATTCTTTTCTCAACACTAATTACAACCACATTCTACTTTATTAAAATTTGTTCCAAGATATATCAAGAAAAATATGACGGAACGGATAGAAGGGAGTATTGCATCAATAGGTTATGTTTGAAATATAATATTCAAGCGTGATAATACTAAATTCACCCCTTATTTGGCTGAAGATCCGTTCCCTTTAACTTTTTTTTTTAGCTTAAAATTTATTCTTATTCAATCTCAGATAAGATCTTTCTATACATAAATAACTAGTGCTTTTAACTTAGATGGTGAAAAGATATCTAATTTTTGGTTCCACATAGTACATGTTTTCATCATCGTCCTTATTAAAGACCTACATATTTTTATTACTGTTCTTGGGCCTAAGGATGAAGTTTGATCCTTAGAGCACCCATTAATAAAATCCAACAGCCTCCAATACAAAACCAAACTTCAATTCCCCCACATACAAATGATGTATATATGCAATCATCCCAAAATTTCAAAAAAAAAAAATTGTTCAGTGTACCTATTTCATTTTGGTATGGTGGTTTGCACTCTGATAGAATGACAGTAACAGAAGAATAGTGTCAGAGGATCAAACCTTGTGGCTCTGTTGTTGGAGGCTTGGAAGCAGGTTGGTGATGTTCACTCTCTTGAGTCTCTTCAGGTGATGCCTTTGTGGGGGATTCAGATTCAGATTCAGACAAGTGGACCTGAGCGAATTCGCTGACCATCTTCTGGCGGTTCTCATCCTCCACTTTCCCCGCTTTCTCTATTGTCTTCTGCCCGACCTCGCTCGCGGCTTTGGCCACCTTGCTGAAGGTGCCCGCCACCCAAGTCGTCCCAGTCAGCACGTACCGGTTCTTCATGATGGCAGACCCCGCATTGCTCATGGTTTGCTCGGCGACCCCGAATGCAGACTTTGCTTTCTCCGAAACCTGGAGCTTCTGATCCACTTCCTTGACTTTGCTGTTCACGATGGCCGTGCCAGCTGTCAGTTTCTCGCTGAGGCCGACTTTCTTGTCAAAGGAGGCAACTTTGGCAGATGCTGAGGATGTCAGCTGGTGTTTCTCGTCAAAAGACTTGGCCTTTCCTACAGCGTCTTTGCCCAGGACATACCCCTTTGCAAGCATGCTGGTAATGGCATCCTCCGCTTTTCTAAGGGCAGTTTCTGGTGCACTTGTCTTTGCAGTTGGCTACAAATCAATTTTTTTCCATTTCAAAGTTAAATACCTACTGGTTAAAGGGTAGGCCTAACGTTGTGCCTCGGAGGTTCATGGTTTGAGTCTGCCTCCGCACAACAACGGCAAACCCAATAAAATCTCTTGTAGTTAAGATCTGGGAAGGCAGACCTTAACCCTACTTGGAAGTAGAGAGGTTGTTTCCAAGAGAGACTTCTGGCTACATGAAAGATATAAAAAATCAATGGAAGGGCAAAAACAATACCTTTACCTCAGGTGTCGCAACTTGAGGAGGAACCTGGTACTCAGGGTCATACATCACACTGACTGGCATATCTATGATAGTTGCCCCCTGATATAAATCCAAGGACTAATCAGTTTCTGTTTATCACAGTATCGTCATATACAAAGTAGTACAATGGACAACTTGAAGCCCTCTTTTTAATTAAAAAAAACTATTTGGCATGAAACAACTGTTGAATATATCATATCACTGACTAAATAAAATTATAAGTAAATTAGATAAGACCAGAGACATTATGATATTTAAGATCGGAGTAAAGCAGGGAAGAATTATTCTGCACATTATCGGACATAACACTAATAAACATTGATAAATTACTAAATCCAATTTCACCCATCCCTCGGAAACCCTCAAACCAAGCAAGGGCCTAATCTCCAAACAAAGTTCACATCAACTTTAGGCTTTTATTACTCTTAGTACACAGATACAATCAGGGGAAAAGAAGAGGTCAAGTGCTTTAGTCTCTACTCAAATGTTCAATGTACATCAAAGATGATAATTCATGTAAATGATTGAGATATATGTGGAGTGAAGAAAAGAGAGAAATTAACTGAAAGAAGAATAGCTGTTTCTGCTCCCTGAGAATCCTTAAAGGTAACATATGCAACTTGACATTGTTCAGTATCGCTACAAATAGATGAGACAAGATGTGTTAATATGCATATAGGCAGTTGTGGACTTTATTGTATATTACCCCGGGTAGAATTTTCATTCAATGAAAATAGTAAAATGAAGTCAGTGCTAACCTCTGCATGTCAACATATTCAATGTCACCAGAGAAAGAAAAGAACTCCTTGATGTCTCGCTCAGATGCGCGCAGCGAAATATTACAAACTTTAACAGTTTTTACCTGCTTCATATGAGCATGTTTTATTTATCTTGTGTTGACATAAAGTTGGCAAGTTATGCTCACATCGCGAATTCATAATCGGGTTCATAAATTTATAATGGTTAGTAGTGGTACTCAGGTGTGGGTGGGTGGATGGATGGGGGGGGAACTTGACAACCTTTTCCAAGGATATGTTGGCACTAGTTTGTATGACGAAAAGACCCTTTCAGTTGGAATGAGGGTGTGGGAAAACAAATTTGAGAGCAGATTAACACAAAATAACATAGAAAATAACATGACCAGGAGAAGTCGTTAGAGAGAAGAAAATGAACATTTCCAGTTGTCCAAACAAATTTCAATCAAAGTCGTTAGAGAGAAGAAAATGAACATTTCCAGTTGTCCAAACAAATTTCAATCAAGAAAGTTTTCTGCTAAAGTTGCCTACTCCTAGACAAAGAAAAACTAAATAATCACACTAATTTAGGAGTCTGATATCTATTTGAAGATTATCTCATAGCCATCTCAGGTGCTTGAGTGCTACATAATCTTTTTTGGTATGGATTCCTTTTTCTTTATTCTATCCTACAGTCAATTCCAGTTTTCCGTAAATTTCATAAAAAGTAAAGTTTAATTTTGGCATATTTGCTTTGTAACTAAACTGACAATGAATGTTTAATTGAAAGAAGGCAAACTTTTCTGGCATTCCTTCACGATAATCATGTGAAATCTATGAAGGTTACCGGTGGATTCATACTTTTCTGGCATTCCTTCACGATAATCATGTGAAAGCCATATGAATTTTAAAACAAACATTTTATACACAAGAATCTCATAACTTGTGCATGCGAGCCATTTCCTTTATAATAAAAAACATCAAGTTTGAATTCGACGATCATTGGGGTCAGGTGCTCCATGTGATTGAAACTAGTTTATGTTAAGTTAATGGCATGGCTAAGCGCATGAAACTCAATAGGCTGGGTACCTGGGCATCACGCTACCTAATGGAGGCAACATCCTTGATGCGTGCACATACTCGGGCATCATCTCATACTGAGATGAAACTGGGCCACCTAACATAATGGTCTCTATTGTTTTCCCTATATTTTGTTGTTGCTTACGGCTCTACATTCAGCAACTTAATGATATGTTTTTTGTACTAAGCATTAACAATTACAAACACATTTCCAACTCAATTAAATAAACCTGTTACGATACACATACAATATACTTGTATAAAACACTCCATATTATACTTCTATTCTACGGAGTATATAGAATGTGATTGGGCATCCTAATATTTGTTTAATGGTGATTATTCATACAATGTAGTAGTAATTATCATCACGATTTAATCATTAGTCAGTCATAACAAGCTTATATGACACAAAACCTTGATGCAGACCATACAGAAGAGACCATCACAAATTGATATTGCTCTGGAGGTTCAGCAAATCATTATTTTTTTGTACATAGTAAAAGTTACAACAACAACAAGTCAACAACAACATTACCCCAATGCCTCAAAGGCAGAGCCCATTGCAGGGTAACTGGGTAAGGGTGGTTGGATGCATGCAACCTGACCTCTATGTTTAAAACATAGAGCAACTGTTTCACATACAATTTAAAGAGCCTTTTTGTTTTATTCCATTATATCCCAAAGCCAAAAAATGGTGAATCTTTATCATGAATGAGAAATTGACTAGGAGGTAGACAAACCCCCCATCTACCGTGAGCATCTATGAACTCTTGCCAAATGGTCTCCTTCACACTTCCATAAACTGCTAATCCATATACTCGATTGTTTCTAGTATAGAGATCTCCTATTAGCATGTTTACAGCATAGCAATTTCAATTGAAGAAATCAAACTACAATAAAAAACGGTACCAGCATTTCCAAATCTCAACAAATTAAGAAATTCACAGATGCACAAGACCAGCAGAATCTATATATGCACTCGAAGAACGGAGCAATGGAAAAGCATCCAATGGCATTGAATCCAGAAAGACGCGCACAAAACATGTAAAGAGATCAATGTAACTACGTAGACCGAAGAGAGCAAACTAGAGAGGTGATCGGAGAAATGCACTGACCGCCATTTAAGATTTCCGGTGATAGACCAGAATTCGGAGCAGCAGTCAACCGGAACAGATATTGGATTTCTGTGTTTCTCAGCCAGGAAATGGAAGACCGGAGTTGACGAGGAGCTAGAGGAGAGAAGAGATGAGCCGCGTTGACTCAGCGGCGGCCCCTTCAACGAATTGTTCCGCATCCGGCGTGACATGTAATTAAAGGACTCGGTGGCCACGTGTAGCTCTAAGTCTTTCTTTTTTTAGTTTAAAAACGAGTATAAAAAAATTGAAAATATATTTTTTAAAAAATTCTAGAAAATGAAACAAAGAGATAAATAAATCCCAAATAATAAATGAAAAACAATAAATGAACACGAGTGCCCACCTATGGTTTAGAAATTATGCGCCAATGCTTCTTATTCTCCGAAAAATGATCAGAAAAAGATCAGAGAAGATAGATCATAGATCTAGGTCTAACGTTTTGAAATCATAAATAATTTAGAAATAAATTTTGAAAGCAGAGAAGACATCGATTCCAATTGTCCAACCCATAGGGCACTGGAACTATTTGGCCCATAATTCTTATCTTGTCAAACAATATGTCTTTGATCACATTTTCACGAGACATATGCAACGATTTAAAATTGGATATATAATATTGTCTCTACAATATACTTGCATTTTATTTTTTTTACTTAATTATCTTTTCGTTAGGACAGTCAAGTCACTAAAATCAAGTTCGCGCACGGAATACGTCATTGAATACGCCTCATCGAGACCTTCAATTCGAGTTTAATTTTTCCATAAAAAGTTAATTTGATAATCACTTATTTTTAACATTGATGTTTCTTTTTTTAATTTAAATCAAAATCTGAACCATAATTTACTAGAACTTGATTATTAAATTCTAGAGTATATTTTGGCGTGTTACATTTCTCTCTTTTTTTAATCTTTGATAAAGTATTTTTCAGTTTCATATATCAATAATTTAATCACTACTTCTTTCATTACACCAATCTAATTGTTTTTAAAACCAAAAGTAGGAAATTTCTCTTCAACTTTTAAAATCCAAACGACTAAACTTTTTGTTAACAGGGTGACTTCTTCAACTTTTTGTTTTTAATCACTTTTTCTTACAAGAAAAACAGAATGGTCTCTAGTGGATTGTTTTTTTGTCTTGTTCTGCATTTTTTACACTTCTTATTGGGCCTCCGTTTTTTTTTTTGTTTTTGTCTTTTTTACGTCTCACCAAAATTTGGATCTTTTATATGGAACAATTTTGCCTACAACAACCCAAATATTGTCTTTTTATGCGGGCTTTATTTTTTATATGGGCTTTACTTTTTATTTTCCTCAATCCAAAATTGTCTCAAGTACTCCCTAAATCACGTGTACATCAAAATACTAAAAACATGTTCCATACTCTGTTATTTCCATTTCACAATTATCTTTTTATTTTTACTTTATTCGTCCCGAATTATATTACTCCTTCCGTTCCTAAATAGATTATAATTTTTTTTTCTCCTCTCAATAACTTTTCTTTGTTTAGACGATTTCATTAACTATTTGATAAAATACAATATTTTTATCACTTTTTATTTTGTAGAATTTTTGACATAATTTTTTAATATATACTTTTTATATTTTATTGATATATCAATTTGTAAATAAAATGATTTCAAAAAGTAAAAAATTTTACTCTATAACCCACAATTTGTAATCAAATTGGGGACGGAGAGAGTACAATTTTTTTCTCTCTTTTCTCAATAAATTTTATTTATCTGTGTGTTTTCATTGAGTATTTGATCGAATATAATTTGCTTTCGAAAGAAGACATAATGAGATCAAAGTTAAATATAATTTGTTTTAAGTTTTTAATTAATGCAATTTTTTAATTAAATGTTCTTCTTTATTGAAGTTAATTATTTTCATTTAATGAATTATTATCGTTTAAATTTAATTAATTAATAAATTTTTATTAATCTAATTCTTAAAATACCTAATAAAAAATTAATAAAATTAAGGTTTGAAGCCCCGAAGCTTCATAATCATTTCCAGTGAAATTGTGAAGTAAGTTAAAGCTGACGTGTTAGAGAGAAAATTTTGAAGCCCCGAGGCTTCCAAGATATTCTAGTGCTCTAACTTTCGCCTCACAAAATAGTTTCGTGTTAACACTTTAGTATATCAAAAAAATATTTACATTCTATCCATCATGTCTAACATACTTTGTGAAATTAAAAAAATCACAAAATTTTCACAAAATATTTACATTCTATCACAGATATATTCATTTAAAAAAGTGAAATGTATTCATGAAAGATTTAGATAAAGATAAAATTATTTTGTTAAATTTACAAAAGAAAAAAAAAGAGGACCCAATGGTTTTGAAAGAGGAAAGGACTAATACTTTATGTCAACTTGTCAAGTGACGGTCAGATGAGCACAAAATTTGAATTCAAACAACGCTTCCTTTCCGTAACCTTCCCCCCCTCCTCAGCCGCCCCTCTCGTAAACTAAAACCCCTGAAAACCCTAGATTTCCTTCTCCACACCATTTCCACATCTCACGATTCCCCGTTAGCAGGCCGTCTCG